CCCCAAAACCCCAAAACCCCAAAACCCCAAAACCCCGAACAGTCTAACTATGATTGAAAATAAGAAAAAAACAATTTGAATTTAAAATTCTTTCAAGTAACTGGGATAAAGTAATTAGTATCTCAAAGCAAGGAAAACTGCAATTCCTGCTCTAACCCATTCATTTGGATCTTTATCAGTTGGTATATCTAAGAAAAGTACGAAGTTCGTACTATGTCCCGTTGTTGATAGAGTTCCTCATCTTGAGAGGACCTTGTATACTGGGCATCTATAGACATTTTTGGGTTCAGGATCCTTGTTCACAATGGGTAAGAAATGAATGCAAGGAAGATCAGTATAGAGGACCTTAGGATGAGAATCTCCTAGCATGTGCTTCTCGTCATCCCATCTACATCCTTCGATATACATTCCATAAACATAGCATCCATCCTCTGGTTTTTCTGTCAAATCGGTATAAGTAATTTGATCAAGGTACTTATAGTCAAAGTCAAGCTGATCAACAGCAATAACATGTCTTCTAGCATAATTCTGGAAAGTTCCTGTGAAGAAGGCCTGTGGAAAGAAGAATCCACTAATCCAGAATACTGATGGAGTTCCTCCCTCAATCCATTTATTCAAAAAGTCAACTCTGTCATTCAAATCTTGTACCCAAGATCCTAGTGGTTTGAGAGATAAGAATCCAAACTCTTCCCAAATGTATGGAACTTGATTGTTGTAAAGAGAGTCACTCATCTTTTCAAGATCTTCGCTCATAACTACTTCACCAACAATAGCCTTCTGGATATTGGCCAATGACTCATGCATGATGATAAGCATTCTGTTGTATCTGACACATTCTTGGAATAGTACTGTGTTCATAGACTCATTGTACTCTGTAGGATATTCCTTTCCAACCATTTCCAAATCAAATTCATGAGGAGTCCTCTTCTGAATACCAGCAGAAAGCTCTTGAATAATCTCATCTCTTGATTTTCCTGCTCCAGAGGAAGAGCGTGGCTGAATATTTAATATTGTTTCGAGAATTGACAGAGTTTCCATCTGGGCAGTTGTGATTTCAGCATTTTCATGGAGTCCAAACACTTCAGGATGTGGCTTAAGAGGCAAAGTATTAATATAGTCAATATAATCCTCTAAATCTCCATTTGGAGGAGCATAGTAGGTTCCAGATTCAGAGAATTTATAGGTATCCTCAAGAATTTCAGGTTTGATGTATACTTCAAGAATGGTTCAGATTAATCTCACATCTTTATCATCAGTAACTCTTCCTCCATAGTTGATTTCTGATCCAAGGAAGTGAAGAACTTTGAATGGAATTTCATCATACTCGTCGAGGAATATTTTCAGCTGCTTCATGTTTACTGAAAGATCCTCATTAGTGAATTCATAAGCAATATTCCATCCGATTGGTCCGAACTTTCTTCTATCCTGCACAATAGCATGGAAGAAACAGTAAGCAAATAAGAGTTTCTTGAAAGCTTCAGGTTTAGTAGTGCTCTCATTCAGTTCTCTATCATCAAAGGTATTATAACTTCTCAAAAGATTAGCTTTCAATCCTTTTGGTGGTTCCAAAGTCATTTTGACTGAGTTCTGTAATACAGATACAGGGAAATCAGGATTCGGCATACTTGTTAACCACATTCTGAAATCTCTATGACTAGAATCATCGAGGTTTTCAACAATTATTTCTAGCTTAGGCATGAAGGAAGTGGCGAGATGACAATTCATCAGAAGTACCCATCCTCCTCTCGATGCAGCTTCTTCAATCATCTTTTCTGCTTTCTTATCTTGACCCTTTCCGAGGGAGATTGATTGTTGCTTACTCATCATGTTTTGTTCATTAGCAAATCTGAGATAATCGGAAACAGGATCTGATCCAGTTGAAAGCACGAAGATTAAAGGAGAAGTTACAGAAGAGTCTTTGAATGATTTTTCAAGAGAAAATGTTGGAGGGACAATAAAGTGTTCTCCAATCTTTTCAACAATAAAGTTTGAAATTGCCTGTGCTATTTTATCTGGTCTTATAGCTTTCAATATTACCATCTTTCTGAAAGAGTCTAGTTTTTTTTCCCACTCATCAGGGAGAGGCTCAATTTCTGGCTGTTTTGAGTCAAACATCTTCTTAAATTTTGAATGGTTCTTCATGAAGTAGTCAAGGAATCCATCGAAGCATTCAATATCTTTAGTTCCAAAGACTTGTTTGTACACTTCTGCCCATTCCAATTCTCCAAGCCAGTCAGTTGGGTTTGGTGGAATCTCGAATTCTCCAGATGGTCCTGCCAAGAAGTATCTCCATTCAAATGGGTCGATCTTATTATCTCCGAACAATATTTTCATTGTGAGCAAGAACGAGAATAACAATTTATCCTTCTCGAAAAGAGATCTGCATACATTTTCATAAAGAAGCTCTGTGAAAGATTCATTCAAATTTTGTATTCTCTGTTCAACCACTTCAGACTTCTCCGAAGAATCAATAGCAATTCCGAACAAGTGAGAGAACCATTGCAAAGAGTATTGGTACATCGGATCAATGTATGCTAGATCAATAATACAGAAGAACAGCAATGAAGCTCTGAAGGCGACTTTTCTATAACTCTCTCTTGTGAAATCTATTTCCTTTTCAGTTTCTTCAGACTCGATCAGTCGCTGGTTGATATCGTCAGATGTCTGCTTTGAGTCGGCAAGAATATTGATGAGTTCATCATCCTCTAGGATTGCAGAGATTTCACTATTCTTAGTGAGACCTTCAAGGATTTTATCTTCTATTTCTCTCAGAGTTTTGGCTGACTGGGCATTCTGCTGCACAATCATGTCTTTACGCTTCTGGAGATCTGGCATTTCTTGCAGCACGAATTGATTCAGCATTTGCTCTTCCAGTCCGAATGGAGTGATGGCAAAGTTCAGTAATGTCACTTTTACAGAAGTCTCTGGGGAGTAATGAGGGTTAGGGAGGGTTGTAGTCATGAAGAATTTAAAATTTGCGTCATACGCAATATCTTTATCTCCCAATTTTAGAGTGTATCCACTTCCACTCTTAGTCTTTTGCTGAAGAAGTACAGGCTCAAGAGCTGGATCGAGTTCTTGACCAACATTTTCGATGAGGACCCACTTTCCTGTTTGAATTCCTAATTCAAGGTTTCTCAGAAGGTTAGGGTTACTTGTCTTCATTACGTCAAGTCCAACCTCAGCTTCATCTGCTCCGAGTTTCTTGATAAACTTATTAGCTTGATTTTGAGGGTCAATCATGAGAGGCCACCTTCTACTCTTGAACATGATGATACCGTTCTCGATGGAGAGGTTATCGTTTGGGAGACTAGCAGCAGTCCATATTTTAGTCTTTACTTTATCTTCTAGCAGACCAATCATTGTGATGTTGGCGATTGAAGGGATCTTGAGATCAGCAATTCTCTTGTTCCATGCCTCTTCTAGGCTAGATCTGTACTTGGAAGTAAATGGTCCGGCATAAGCCACCATTCCTGCAGCTACTAGACAGTTTCCTACAAGAAGACCAAACTCCTCTTCATATTGCTTAACTGTATTGGTCCATCTAATCTTTTCTCCTTGGAGGCCACTGATCAGCTTTCCTGCTCTTTCTAGCTTCTTGTTACACTCGTCTATTTCTTTGGTAAGAGCTTCTTCTTGGTTGACTTTCTCTCTAAACATTCTTTCAAGTTCTTCAATTCGTTCGTCAACTTCTTTGAGTCTTTGCCTCTTCTCTGCAAGATCGGCAGAAACAATAGCGAGCTGTTCTTTCATCTCAGCAACTTTCTCTCTTTTGGGATTGACAATTTTGAGGAGGTCATGGTAAGTGCACATTGCTTGGGCCCAACCTCTAATAGCCACCAGTGAGATGGAAGCTAGCTTGGCCCTTTCCTCGGTAAAGTCATCACTATCAATGATCTTCTTAGCCTTCTCAACTGTGCTTTCTGGAATGTTGTCTTTGTCGTAATCAATCATCTTTTGCCTAAACTCCTTTGGCTTGGTCAGAAGATTGACTCTTGCAGATTCGAAGTATCCTTTGATATCGTTTTCAGTTAGCTTTTGTTTGTTCTTACTAGGCTTGAAACCCATCATAATGCAACTTAACTCCATTCCAACAACAATAGTTGGAGCTGGGCTATTAATCTTGGAGAGGAAAACAAAATCGTTAATGTCTAGCTCCTTCAAAATCTTGGTCGCCTTTTCAAGTGCTGGTGCTGCCTTAGATAACTCAGCTTCAGCAGCTTCCTTCAAAGCATTAGCATCTGCTTCTTGTTCAGTAGCCTTTGCTTCTTGCTCAGCGACAACTGCTCTTTCTTCGTCTGCATCTGCTTTATCTGCAGCCAATGCCTCTTTAGTTTCGGCTACTTCTGCCTTAGTCTTCTCCAGTTCAGGTTGCTTTTTATCAAGCATGTCTTTGAGTTTGTCAATTTCGACAGAAGCATCAGCAAGCACTTTAAGTCCTTTGTTGAGTCTCTCCTTGAGATAAGAAATTTCTTGTTGCTTGCTTACAAACACACTCTTATACACATTGAGCAGTTCAAGATAAGATGTAGGAGTGACATAATTGTATCTTCTGAGTTCATCCAGGAAATCTTTGCTCTTTTCCTCTACAGTCTGATGCATATGCACAAACAGTTCGACTCAGCTCTTCTTTTGGTCTCCGAGGTCGAAGTCTGCATCTTCAAGATCTCCCATTGCGACCTCCCTAAGTGCCTCTTCTGGCCACTCAGTAAACCAGTCTAGTGTTGAACAGTTAACAAGCGATGGGAACTTCCTGATTCTGTTTCTGAACACTTCTCCTTGTGGGCTCATTGCTATGACCATGTGGATGTTGCTTCTGACTCTGTTGACATAGGAGCTGAAGCAGTTCATGGTAGTGGGTTGGATGTTTCTTGCTAGGCATTCCTTTTCTCCCACCTCCATGATGATTTCAAAGTCTTCCTTCTTGTAAAGATTTGGAACATCTGCTGAATTGAGGATTCCGTTGATGTCTTCAAGCATTTGCTCATTTATAATCTGAGTATCAGTGAAAAGGAAAGTGGTTGCTTTATTATCAGCTCCACACTGCATTAAAGCCTTCTTAACATCTTCTCTCCAGTTTTGCATATTATATCCTTTGACAACTTCAACCTGGAACAGCTTATAGTTGCAAATGTATGATGAAAGTCTTGACAGGCTTTGCCTCCCTGACCCTCCCACTCCGAGTCAGAGGGCATTTCCTAGCGGCTGTCTGATGCATCTACTAATTCTTGCAACATGATCACAAGCATCCAGGAACATTACCAATTTCATCTTGTTTTTGACTGAGTCGTTATACTCATCAAGGTACTTTCGAATTTCATCAACAAACTGGGGGAGATTGTAGATTTGTTCATAACTCCTTGGCTCAACATCTAGCCCGTTCATAAAATCGCCAAAAATTATTCTTTCTGTATTGTAAATCTCTGTTTTTTCAACTTCAAAGAACTCTTCTCCTCCTTTGATCAACTCGTTGTCCAGCCATTCTCGGTCTTCTTGGTCTACAAGTCTGTCCCCAAACACTCTCTTATTTTCGTGGACCCAGAGTCTTACCAACTCTATCTTCGCGCTGACTGCCTGGTTGTTGACAGAGCAGATACCTTGGAAAATCTTAGAGATATCTCTCAGGTTGAACGTATAATGACTCTTTCTTGGAATTGGCTTTAAGGGCCCAGTCAGAACATCGTTGTAAATCCTAAGCTGAGCGCTCACAAGCTTTTCAATACTATTCTTGATGTCTTCACTAAATGTGGAAAGGAATGCTGACACAATCGTGAAGAAGATTCCGTTAATTGTGTTTTGCTCTAAGTCAGTATAGGTTATAATATTGAAATGCCTTTGAAGTCTTTGAGTAATTGGAGATCTTCCTCCTCCTGGGGGTCCCATTGAACACATAAGCATGATGTCGTCAATTCTCATCATTGGCTTTTCTTTGCTCTTTCTGTCATACCAGCCAACATGATCTAACCATTGTCTCAATAGCTCAAGTGGAGGCTGTGCTCCATACTCTTCCTTTTTAGGCATGTTTAGATCATCAATGAAAATAACAAACTTGTTTCCGACTGGAGGGCCATAAACTCCCTTTCTTCTCTTGGTGAACTTGTCGTCTAGGTAGTCCTGAGTTTGATTGGCGCTTGTCTGAGCAGAGAAAGTCATAGCTAAAAATAGTATTTCCTCTGGCACTTCTGAAGACAACAGCTGCTGAATATTTACCGTCTTTCCTGTTCCTGTGGGTCCAGGAGTCAATACGTTAGTATTATTCATGATCAGATGCTTCATTATATATTTCATTCTCACTGAATCGTCTGTCGGGACAACGATTTCTGAGTAATTCAGTTTTGTATCTCAATTATAAGGAGGAATAATCTCAAGCCAAGGTTTCCACTCTTTATTTTTATCATCGAAACTCCAGTCATAAATTGTGTTCTCTTTAGGGAACTCCATCTCATTCTCTTTGAATTTGTTTCTGAGGAATGCGTCCATTCTCTTCCTTCCACTAATATCCGTCGTAGCAGCAACTGACCATGTCAAGGCATAAGCTGCCAAGCTGGTTATCATCCCTTCAAGTTCTTCAATTTCAGCCTTTTCAACTACCTTGATTTCAGTATCTCGGTATTTGGTGAAGTAGGAATCAAGAATTCTGAAAGAGGATTGGCACAAATTATTGTCGACTGTGAGCACTGGCTCAGTGCAGTTTTTCCTTAAGTAGTAACAAGCATCATCCATAACATTTTCATAAATTGACCTTAGCTTCTTCATGATCTTCTCACTCTCTCTGATTTTCGGAGGTAGTGACTCAAGCCATGAGTCGATCAATGGCTGCAATGTTAAAGCTTCTGGCTCCATATAAACCATCCCACATCTAGAAACTGTGGCAGGAGAGGCCACAGCAAGGTCTTCAACCTCAAACATCATTGTCATTTGGTTAGAGAGGGAGATAATTTGTCCACTATTCAGGCAAAGCTTTTTGTTATCATCAAGGACAGTGTTCATACTTTCGATCCAAAGGGCGTCGACAGGACCATCGAACATTATCCAGTGCTTTTCAGGGGATTGGTCCTTTGCGCAGTCATTTACCATTTTTGCCACAACTCCATCCACCCATTCAGTGGTCTGGGGGTCCACATATCCGTAGAGCTGTCCCATAGTAATTGATTTAGGGTTAATCACGTGAGTATTTACTTTCTCAAACTCTTCTTGCTCTTTAAGTGCAGTAATGGCATGAGAGAGAACTTTATAGTTGCATGTCTTTCCACCTCCCGTTGGCCCAACAAGCATCAGACCGTGCCTGACTTGTATCGTGTCATAGAGCTGTATGACTTTATCCAAAAATGGCTGAACTGGCTGTAGATTAAAGTGGTCACAACTCTTGAGGATCGACGGCTCCAGGTCGCCATATGCTTGTTCTGGTCTTTTCACACCAGGGAACAAATCAAGGATAATATTTTCAAACAGAGGGAGGTCGTCTTTTAAGAACTTAGGAACATTGACATCTCTTAGGGCTCTGAGAAGAAGCTGATCTTCGTCCATGTCTGGATGAGCTCTTTTCAAGAGACCAGCAGCGTTGATGACTGATCTTACAGCTCTCATTCCATAGTCGTAGTGATCCTGAGATGATAACTGCTCTGATGAAAGCTTGAAAGTAGTCACCATTTTTCTTGCTAGAGGTTTACCATTCTTGAATCCAAAAGAGTAAAGCATGATTTCTCCAATCAGAGCGTAGTCTGGTACCATCATTGCCACTGGTCTGAATAAGGCCTTCAAGTTATCAGGGAGTTCAGTTCTTCCGGCATATCCTGGGTTCATTGTAATGAAGACTGAGAATGTTGGTTTCATTCTAATGATACTTTCTTCAAACTCGATTTCTGGTTCAGATGTTTCTTTAGCTCCAAACAGAACCAACAGTTGTTGGGCAATTACTGATAACACCTCAATATTGATTCTGTTGAATTCATCGAAGCAAGCCCATGCTCCTGCTGAAGCGAGACCTTTAAAGAACTTGGCGACCATAATGTGATCCATTCCATCAGAGCAGTTGAACACCACACATTGCTTTGCAAGAGCCTTTGCAAGATCTTTTGTACTCTCTGTTTTACCAGTTCCAGCTGGTCCTGCCGGAGCTCCTCCAAGGTTAAGAGTAAGAGCTCCCATTAAAGTCATGTAACACTTATCTGTTAATGGAGTAATGACCAACCTGAGGGTGTTTCCTAGGTATTCATACCCGTAAGGGAAGTTTGTCTGTATGCATTTTACATAGCAGTCCTCATTCTCCCAGTAGTACCTAAGCTGCATGATCCACTCGAAAGCTCCAACATCACTGACTCCTTCTTTGAAGAGTGTCCCCACCACATCTCTGGCATGCACATCGAGCACAATTAGAGCATTCATGGTGATTGTTTGCATTTTACTCAATTTCTTACGCACAAGAGTAACGGTATCGTCTAACTGCTTTTGCAAGAATTCGTGGTATTCCTTGACTCCCTCGCACCCTTTAGTTTTAATAGCTTCTTCTACTTCGAGAGTCCAGTGAATTTGTGAGCCATTGAGTATTCATTGCCCAGGGTGTTCAAGAACCCATTGAACTCTTGGCTTGGTTTTGTAATCTTCAATAGATCTAAAGAATGCAGCTTTGACTGATGTTATCATCATTTTCTCAACATCTCCCATCCAGTTTTCTACATTTCTTTCTCTTGGATCAATTTTCTTCACAAAGCCGACGTTTTCTCCTTCAGCTGAGTACATTGAGTGGATGGTGTCATCATCTCTAAACTCGAGATCAGCCATGTTTTCGAAGACTTTCCTCAGATGGGGTCTGACGTTTCTAACTTCTTTAGTTTGAGAAAGGATCTCAAGGAGCTCATCATTACTCAAGAAATAGAATCTCGCAAAGATAGACCTCTTCTTCTCCAAGTACTCTGCCAATCCCTTCTGGACGATCTCAAGATTCTTATTGGCTTCAGTGAATTTCTCAAGAAGCCCCTCTTTGGAACAAGCAGACAGAATGCCTGGGGACTGGTTGGTTTGATTCATGATATGTCTCCAAGTTGAATCAACAGATTTGAATCTCTTAGTCTCTTGTGGAAGCTGTTTCATAATATCTTGAGAATCAAAGATAGGTTGGAGGTACATCCATTGGCCTTGGCATTTGACCCATTCTTCTAATGTATCTGATACAAGTAAGAGCTTTGAATTCCAATTTGTGATCTCATCTTCAAATGGTCCTCTGAAAGGAGAGAACTGCATTGCCTGAGTGGTGACAATATGCTCGTCAAGCATGTTCATAGCTTCATCAAATCCAGAAATATAGGAAGTTGGGGTATTTTTGAATTGAGGAGTCAGGAAATTGACTCCAACCCAGTCTTCTTGCATCTTCTGAAGCATTCATTCAATGTTATATTCTCTTGCCGCCTTTTCTCCAACTTCTTCACAAAGTGGGATATGTTTCTCAAGACCCTTCTCAATAACAGTTGTGAGAGTAAATCCTTCGGTAGGTCTAATATCGAATCCGACTCCTTCACTGACCTGGTCCCAGTGTCTTTCGTACATGCCTTCTTTTCTCAAGGCAACTGCAAGAGGGACATATTTTCTGAAAACATCAATCTTTTGTTTGAGTTCTTGTGCAATTTTAGAAATCTTTTCCATGTCCTTAGATTTGAAATAACTAACAGTTCTAAGAATAGTCTTGAAGGAATTTTGGACAATATCTTCGAGCTCGACAGCATTAAGGTCCTCCCATGGATCTTCAAGCCAACTCTTGTTATGATGGTGCCAGTTTCTAGCTGTGCTCCACAGATTTGAATACGGTTCGAAATCCTTTGCTCACTGTCTCAGCTGGCTATAGTCAGTAGTTGGCTTTCCCATCAAAGCTTCTCTTCTATTGAACTGATTAGTTTTACCAGTGTATTCCTTTAGTCTTGCGTTGACACTTTCAACATCGATAAAATACTGTTCAAACTTGTTAATGTCGTCACATTGAGAGAACGCTCCAACAGTCATTCCAATTCCTTCTAGCATTTCTTCAAATTCTTCTTGCTCTTGAGCCATATCTTTCAGGAAGGCATCCTTTTGCTTTTCGAGAATAGAAGCTTGTCCTTGGATACATTCCATAAGTCTTTTTGGGGCTGCGAAGAGATCCCACTTAGAGTCTAGCTCAGTCATTGAGAACTCATGCTGAAAATCTTCAAGCAGATCGTAGATTTCCATGCAATCCTTAATTTCATTCTTTTCCTTCAGAATTTCAGTTGGGAGAGCAGCCATCCTATCCTTGATCTCTTGGAGCTCTTCTATATTATTTGGAGTTTTTCTGATATCTGACTCCATTTGCTCAAATTTGACAGTGAGCTCATCGTTCTTCTCTCTAGCTCTAGTGGCTATCAATTTGGTCTCCTTCTCAACAATAGAAGCATGCTTTCCAGCAAAGAGCTTTCTGATATCTTTACAGTTGACTTGGAAGTAGGAGATGTTCAAATGCTCTGGGATTTCTTCCTCAATTCTGAGTACTTCCTTTCTATGTTTGTCAATATCAATTTTGATCTCATCAACAGAGGCTGGATTCTCAAAATCATTCAATTTCATAATGTGTTTATCAACATTGAGTTGACTTTCAGGAACAAACTTTTCAAAGGTCTTCAGATACTCTCTTAGTGGCTCAACTCCTGAGAGGAGAGCTTCTTTGATCTTCTGGAAGGCATCCCATAACCATGTGTTCTCATCAGGCAAGACATGCTTTTTATCGGGGATTGCCGGCTCAGTCAAAGGAATCATTGGTGCTTTCAGAGACTTATTACCATGGGTATTCTTTAAGAAGAGATGCTTCAAAAGAATTGGCTCCAGTTGTGGGATCTCTTGCAAAACTTTAATGCCCTCTTCAAAGATACCCATCACAGTTTCAACAACATCTGTAGGGTCTACATGGTACTGAGGGATCTCTTGGCCATGCTTAAGAACGAGGTCAAGCACAAACAATGGGTTAGGATCAGCTGTATCGGCCTCGAGCGTGATTGTCTGGTGAGAATCATCGGATTCGTCATCTTCTCCTGCCTTATCTCCTTCTCCTTCGCCTTCACTTTCATTCTCCTTGACTTTCTTGGGGAATTCATTAGTCACTTCGTTAGAGGAGATGATCTGAGTAGCAAGCGGGATAAATTTGATAATATAATCCTGGAATTCATAGACACTATCTTTGCAAATAGTTAGAACCGTATCCTGCATCATGAAATTAACAGTGGTCAGGAACCTCTTCAATTTTCCGAATTCATAAGTCTCCTTGGAAGTATCATGAATGTTGTACCATCCTTTGCCAATGTTCATGAAAGAGTCATTAATGATGTTGCATAAGGTCTTATTAACCCACTGATCTCTTGTAGCAAATTTTATTTGAGAGTGAGCAGAATTTTGAATCTGCTTAAATTCTTCCAGTCTGGTAGTCTTATCTTTTGTACAGTCAAACAGTTTGTACTTCTTGATCAGGTCATTACATGAAGTCCTGATCTTAACCATGGCTTCAATTACTTCCTGCTTAATGTAGAGGGAGTTGAAGCAGAAATCTGAAAATTTCTTAGGGAAATCATGAGCTGGGATTGGAATCATAGCAAAATAAGGACATTCCTTGTTAAACTTATTGTCAACTCCCTCTGTTAAAGATGATTTGTATACTAAGTCAGTTGTTTGCTCTGGGAACTTAAGTTCTACATTGATAAGCTCTTTTCCATTAGCTTCATCTTCTTCCTTCTTTTCTTCAAAAATGGCTTTATGAAGAATCTCTTTGTTCATTGTTCTAGAGTAATTCTTGTTGACTTCATTTATCATGTTAGTTGCAGCCTGCGAGTTAGCTGAATGCCCTTTTGAAGCCATATTTTGAATCCTATTTGTTTGTTCTGAGTCTAACTCTTGAAGATCTTCTGTTGGCATAAAGCTAAGAATAAAGTTGTATCTGATCTGGGAATCAGCATACATTCTATCTCTGTGAGCTTTAGCAACCCTTTGAGCAAAAATTCTAGGGTCTTCAGCATCAAAGAGGAGGTTTATTCTAGTTACCTCTCATTTCTTGGTAGTCCCATCCCAAATCCCTTCATAGATTTCTCTTTCTTCATCATATTTGTAGATCAAGACTTTCCTCCAGTGTCCAACACCATTTTCATCCCTCCAAAGACTCTTTCCTGGTATTGGTTCAAATTTTTGGTCTTGCTGGATTCCACAATTTATCCATTCTTCAGGGGTTCTACAATCGTACTCTGAATCATCAAAGGGTTCAAGTGGGAGTTTGCAACAGGCAACTTGAGCACTTAAGTCAGGAACATTAAATGGCGTGTTCCAACTCTCTTCAGCAACTTTAGGTGGGATTGAGTAATCAACTCCAAGGTGAAGCAACAATTCCTCGATGTTAATCGAAGCAAATAACTTTTTCTGTCTGTCGATGATAACTTTCCTTGGAGGATGATCTTTTAGAGGAATGTATGGCTCTAGTACCTTGGGATCAACGTCAGCAACTCCTTCTCTCTTCTTTGAATAGTATCCAAGGTTCACCTCTGGGTTCCTGAAATAACTTTTTCCCAAAATCTTGCTTTTCGTATCCACAATAGCAGCCTGTGAGTTGAGCAACTTTTCTCTTCTCTTAATTCCAGTTGCTCTAGGTATCTTCTGGACAGCATTGGCTGTCATAATAGCATCTTTATTAGGACCAATAACTGACCTCTTTTTCAATTCTTCCTTATCCTCTGTGACGAGAACTTCTGAAAAGACGCCTCTCTGCCTAGGAATCATATTTGAATCGTCTAAATATTATTTATTTAAATTTTAATTCGAATTTATATAATAATTTCTTATGGAGGGGTTTTGGGGTTTTGGGGTTTTGGGGTTTTGGGGTTTTGGGGTTTTGGGG